CCTCCCCATCTTGGCTTCATCATCAGTTAAGCCTGGCTTGCATTCTCTCACAGGTGCTGCCAGGTAACATAACATTCTCTCACAGGTTTAAGAGTAACAGCCGTGTTAGTCTGTATTCGCAAAAAGAAAAGGAGTACTTGTGGCACCTTAGAGACTAACCAATTTATTTGAGCATGAGCTTTCGTGAGCTACAGCTCACTTCATCGGATGCATACCGTGGAAACTGCAGCAGATATTATATACACACAGAGATCATGAAACAATACCTCTTCCCACCCCACTGTCCTGCTGGTAATAGCTTATCTAAAGTGATCATCAAGTTGGGCCATTTCCAGCACAAATCCAGGTTTTCTCACCCTCCACTCCCCTACACACAAACTCACTCTCCTGCTGGTAATAGCCCATCCAAAGTGACAACTCTCTTCACAGTGTGCATGATAATCAAGGTGGGCCATTTCCTGCACAAATCCAGGTTCTCTCACCCCCTCACCACCCTCCAAAAACCACACACACAAACTCACTCTCCTGCTGGTAAAAGCTCATCCAAATTGACCACTCTCCCTACAATGTGCATGATAATCAAGGTGGGCCATTTCCAGCACAAATCCAGGTTTTCTCACCCCCCACCCCCATACACACACAAACTCATTCTCCTGCTGGTAATAGCTCATCCAAAGTGACCACTCTCCCTACAATGTGCATGGTAATCAAGGTGGGCCATGTCCAGCACAAATCCAGGCTCTCTCACCCCCCCCCCCCCCGGGGACACACACACACACACACAAACTCACTCTCCTGCTGGCAATAGCTCATCCAAACTGACCACTCTCCAAGTTTAAATCCAAGTTTAACCAGAACGTCTGGGGGGGGACGACACTATTAATTTAGGCTTAAATAGAGACTGGGAGTGGCTAAGTCATTATGCAAGGTAGCCTATTTCCCCTTGTTTTTTCCTACCCCCCCCCCCCCCCCCCCAGACGTTCTGGTTAAACTTGGATTTAAACTTGGAGAGTGGTCAGTTTGGATGAGCTATTGCCAGCAGGAGAGTGAGTTTGTGTGTGTGTGTGTGTCCCCGGGGGAGGGGGATGGGGGGGTGAGAGAGCCTGGATTTGTGCTGGACATGGCCCACCTTGATTACCATGCACATTGTAGGGAGAGAGGTCACTTTGGATGAACTATTACCAGCAGGAGAGTGAGTTTGTGTGTGTGGTTTTTGGAGGGTGGTGAGGGGGTGAGAGAACCTGGATTTGTGCAGGAAATGGCCCACCTTGATTATCATGCACATTGTGAAGAGAGTTGTCACTTTGGATGGGCTATTACCAGCAGGAGAGTGAGTTTGTGTGTAGGGGGGTGGAGGGTGAGAAAACCTGGATTTGTGCTGGAAATGGCCCAACTTGATGATCACTTTAGATAAGCTATTACCAGCAGGAGAGTGGGGTGGGAAGAGGTATTGTTTCATGATCTCTGTGTGTATATAATATCTGCTGCAGTTTCCACGGTATGCATCCGATGAAGTGAGCTGTAGCTCACGAAAGCTCATGCTCAAATAAATTGGTTAGTCTCTAAGGTGCCACAAGTACTCCTATTCTCTCACAGGTGGCCTCTGAGGTCCACATTAACCTATTCAGTGTACACACACCATCACACCCTCACATTCCTAGCACTGTGTGTGGGAGAAGGGGTGTCTAACATCCCACACCTCCTTTGACATACTTCAACATACAGACATCTTCTGCCAGACTTCAGATTAAGAACAAAATAAGTGAGAAACTTATCTCCAGTAGAATTTACAACTGCAATCTTTTTCAGAAACAGGAACATTTTAGCAGTGCTTTTACTGCTGTCACCCAGAGTCCCTGGCCTGGTCTACACTTATAATTTAGGTTGAGAATAGCTATGTTGCTCAGCAGTATGAAAAAGCTACATTCTGAGTGAAAAGAAAAGGAGGACTTGTGGCACCTTAGTCCTCCTTTTCTTTTGCGGATACAGACTAACATGGCTGCTACTCTGAATTCTAAGTGAAGTAGCAGTGCTGACCGACCACCAGCGTAATGCAGCTACGTTGATGGAAGAATGTTTCTGTTGACCTTACTACTGTCACTCAGGGAGATGTTGTTCCTACACTGACAGAAAAAACCCTTTTGTCAATGTAGGATGTGTATACATTATGGGTTTATGCTGGCCTAGCTACAGCATTGTAGCTATGCTGGTACAGTCCCATTAGTCTAGACATACCCTCCTGTGCCTGTGTAGTTATTTTGAGTGGTGAAATGAAAGGAGAATTCGAGTCAACCTAACATCAGAAGCATTGCAGCTCTCACAGCTGGCTCCTTGCATGTGTGCAGTTCACTGTGGTGATTACAGGAAGCAGCTGCTGTTATGAAAAGAAGTGTGAATACAGTCACCTTCTTTTGTTCATTCGTAGACCTTTCCACAGGAACTAAAGTAAGCTGAATTGCATTTTTAACTCAGTTTGTATCTTATTTATTTGACGTTGGCTCACTTCGGCTGTTACTCTTACTTGTCTACACTAAGGTTTTTGTCAAAAATATCTCACTGAGAAGCTTCACTAGTGATAACTATTGTAGACTGCTGATGTTTTAGTATTATGTTGGGGAGACCAGATTTGATCAGGTTTAAATAACACATAGTTAAAATGTTAGTGGACCATGGGAGCCTGGTTTACACTGGCACTCCCATTATTGATACTGCTTTTGGAGCTGTTCTGAGCAACAGTGGGAAAAATCTTGGACTCAGTCTTAGTTCCCAGGGCCTCCTTATCTTCCTTAAATGTTTCTCTCTTCTCGGACCTTTATATTTCTGTTTCTAGACACTTCAGTTCCTTTCATGTCAGGTTTTTTTAGTTATTTATATTCTGATAGTATGCTTTTTCATTCTCTCTTTTTACCCAGTCTCTCTCTGTGTCTTCTCTCTGTGGCACTTGCTCTTGTCCCCTACTCCATAACTTCAAAATTTGAGTAGAATTATTTCTGAAACTATTAAGAGGACTAATGTGAAGAGAAACAACAGCAACATTGAAGAAAAATTTTTCAATGACCTTTTATGTAGTTTCTTTCAATTACATGATATTGTTGTCCCTTTGGCCTAAGCAATTAGCCAATATTTGGGATCTTTATGAGTTGTTTCCATTTGGATGAGAAATCAATGATATGAGTTAGGTATATTCTCAGTGCAATCTTGTTTATTTACAAAAATGTACACAAAGTCCCGTTTCCTTGAACACAGTAGAAACAAACAACAGCAAGCAATTTACTTGCTCAGAAATCCCTAATTTTGCACTCCAATGAGTTTTGAGCAGAAGGAACTGTGTCTTTCTGCTTCCTCTCACAGTCATGATGTGGACAAATTAGAGAGAGTACAGAGAAGAAACAACAGATGATGAAAGGTTTTGAAAACCTGACCTCTTGGGAAAGGTTAAAAAACTGAGCATGTTTAGTTTTGCAAAAAGAAGATGGGGGGTGGGGTGGGACACCCAATAACAGTCTTCATATATGTTAAGAGATGTTATAAAGAGAATGGTGATCAATTGTTCTCCATGTCCAGTGAAGGTAGGACAAGAAAGAATTGACTTAATCTTAAGGAATGAAGATTTTAGGTTAGATATTAAGAAAGACTTTCTAACTATAAGCATAGTTAAGCACTGGAATAACCTTCCAAGGAAGGTTGTGGAATGCCCATCATTGGAGCTTTTTAAGATCCCATTAGACAAACACCTGTCCACTATGGTCTAGGTAGCCTTGGTGCTGCCTAAGCACAGAGGTTGGACTAGATGACTCCCCAAGATCACTTCCAGCCTTACATTTTTATGATTGTGTTAACAACCTTTCTGCTTCCACCACACACAGGCTGCAAAATCAATGTCTAGCCCCTGTGTTGGCAACCAAGGGAAACCCCTGTTAATCTACCTGGATTAGCTCTGATTAGGCCTGGCTATGTGGCTTAGTGCCTGGGGCCATAGCCTTTATTTTTCTGCAGCTGTTTCATTATATAAAGGGCTTAATTCCTCCATCCACTGAGCCTGAAAGAGAATGCTTGTCTTATTCCTTAGGTTTAACAAGGTCTGTGAATCAAAGATCCCCTTGGTAGCCATTAACACCTTTCAGCATTACAGTATATTCATTCTCTATTGTTAGTAATATAATCTTAAAACAAGACAGTTACATTTCTTTCTCTACTATTTTGTTCTTCTCCCTTTGGCAAATTTTGTATCTTGTATTTCTACTGCCAAATCAACAGAAGTGGCTTCCTTTTGTTCCATTTTTTGATTGAGCTTCACAGGTATCTTTCATAGTGCTTGTGCAGATATGGGAACAGGGTTTGTAAGTTAACAGTTAGAGAACACCACTGAAAGATCACGCCAAAATGATACAAATTAAAAAAAAATATTTATTTCTTTGGATTTGTTAAAAAATAAAAGATTTAGTAGCTGGTATTAAAAACAAATGGAAAAAAAGATTCAACAATTGGATTGGTGGTGATCACTGGGGCTCAGCACAGGTGCAGGGGTCCACTTTTGAAAATAGTTGCAGGATCAAGGCCCAGGCCATACAGACTTTTGCCTAATCATGAGCTTTGATGGGTGTTTTGTCTGAGGTTTTTATCCTACATACCTCTCAAAGCAATTATTTAACAGCTTCCTCTAGGGTGTTTATACTTGTTCAGATAATGGGTTGGAGATCTTACCCTTGTGTCTTTTTATTATGATGAGTGTTACTGCACAAAGTGGTTGTAAGCATGTGTAGTTTTGTTGTAGACACTTGTTGGCTGCCCCATAATTAATTTTGTTTAATTGTGTTTTAATATAAATTCACTCTGATGCCTAGGCAATGAATTTATGTTTTTATAAACAAATGTAAATGAGTTACATTTCAGTCAGCAATTGCGTACATCCCCCCTGCAATTATGTTATTCTTTGGCTTATAGGGTGACATAATAAATCTTTTGTCATCTATGCTTGGAAAGATAATGCAAATACCAATATGAAAGCAACAAAGCAGATGAAACCCAGCACTACCAGAGAAACAAATGCAGGAACATCCATTTTTAAAAAGAGTTCACCTGTGTTACGAGGCTCATCTCCTACTAATTCAAAGATAAAACATAAGATAAAGTTCTTGGCAAATGAAAGTGAGCCGCTGGTGTGCATACCTCCATCTCCAGTAGAATCTATGGTAAAGTATTCCATACCGATTCCATCTGAAAATAAACCTGATATGGTAGATGAACTGCAGATGCTAAAGGACATCACTGATCATCTAAATGAGGTATACATTTCTCTTCATTTAATTGTGACTTCATAGTTCAAATCAAAATATTTGCATTTTTATTATTTTTTTTGCTTTGAGAGATATTAAGATAATAGGAGAAAATATGCTTACTAATTAAGATAAAATTACGTTAAAATATTTTTTGCAGCTTGTGCACACAATGGAATATGTGTATGCTAAGAAAGCTGAAGAGGAGGAGGAGGAGGAGGAGGAAAAGGAAAGCTCAGTTGTATGTGTAATAATAGTTACATATAATAAGAGATTTTAAAAATGTGTTTTACTTCTAGATTTTATAGTTTAACTTAAAATGTCAGCACCAACACTAACTTTAAATCATAAAATTGTCATATTCTTATCAATAAAAATAATTTAGTATTGTAAATTAGCAAACATAAATAGCTGCTTGGTAATAGGCAAATAAATACCAAGGTAGCTAAAATGGAGAGTCATTTCTGAGACTGAGGTTAGGAAAAAATACAGTTTCATGACTTAAAAAAAAAAATTCGGACAACCTTTTCTTTAAGAAGTTCTTGTTTTTCTGCTTTGAAACAGGGACCTGAAATTTGACGGGGGGTTACCTTTGTGTCATGGATGTGCCTTTTGCTGTTCCTGTAAAAATCTGCCCAAATTTGACTAAATCTTTGAACAATCTCAGTTCACACATGCCCAAAGAGACTTAGGGCTTGTCTACACTTGCAACACTAAAGCGCTGCAGTGGCAGTGCTTTAGCGTGCCTTGTTTGGTCACGGTGCACCTCCCATGAGGGGCGTAGCTCACAGCACTGGGAGCGTGCCTCCCAGCGCTGGGGTACTGTTTACACTGGTGCTTTACAGTGCTGCAACTTGCTGTGCTCAGGGGGGTATTTTTTCACACCCCTGAGCCAGAAAGTTGCAGCGCCGTTAATTGCCAGTGTAGACAAGCCCTAGCAGCTAAACTATCCACAGCTTCTATTCTCACTGAATGTGCTAAAGCCACTCACAGCTCCTAGTGCAGAATGGACTGTGCACAAACTATCCCCTCAGAGCAACTGAGCATCCACTTGCAGCTGCTACATGTGACCAGGCTGTGCATGTGCCATTCCCGCAGTCTTATTGAGCATTCTCTAACACAAGGATACAGGGACAAAGCTGGACTTTCCCTGTAATTGTTTCTTAGGGCTGGGCTGGGGATGGGTCAGAAGAAGTCGTTTGTGACCAGTACAGCACATTGCCCTACAGAACCTGGAAGGGAACCCAAGTCTCACCATTCTTCTGCTGTTAGCAAATATCCACGAAACCCACAGTCAAAGTTTGTATCTCATTTCCCTCTAGTGCTGACTCACATAAAGGATGACAACCTAGTATTATTCTTTGATTAGTGTCCTTATGCATGCTCCACTCTAGGTGCGCTTGCACCCCATGCGCTTCAGATTGGAGATTTTAGCAGTGTCCCTTCGGCCTGCATATATGTGCCCCCCCCCCACTTCCCTGCAGCCTCAGAGGGAGGGTCTCTGATCAGGCAGAAAGCTTTGGCACCTACCAACCTCCAACTCAGTACCCATGAGGCTGCAGGTTCCTGAAAAACCTTGACCACCAGCAAGCCTGAGGACTCTAAGAGTTATGGCTCTGGAAGATCAGTACCATCGGGTGATCAGAGTGGCAGAGAGAAGATCAGCTCTTTTAAATTGGGACCAACAGAGTGTGTGCTAGGACCTCAGTACCCAGCACTTCAGCTCTGCAAAAGACCAGACTGACATCTACTGGTCATGAGACCTTCGGTACCATCGGTGCCTTTTACCACAGTTACCTTTGCCCAATTTGCTTCATTGGTACCGTCCACTGTTCTGGTACCACAAGAGTTTTGATTTCCTCAAGACTTGGTAACAGTAACAGAAATGCCTGAATCTCCCGTTAGGCACTGACCCGTTCTGGGTAACAACCACCTCTCGTTCTCCGGAGATTCACTGGGTACCGACAGAGTCTCCACTTATTTCTATGGCTGCTCCACCTCTACCAAGTGACGAGGAAGAGGTCTTGTTTTTGTCTCATGTTCTTGTAATTCTGCTAGAGCTCCTCTGATTTGGCACAGCACAGAGCTGTGTCCGAGGAGTACCCCTTCTTGTACATTTACTGGCATAGCTACTCATAAATCTTAACATTCTGGTGATGCTTGGTAATAGGGAAACGGAAACCCTTCTCTCCCCAGAAGGCAAGGAAGTCCAGGACCTCCAGATGGAACCATGCTGAATCATGGGGCATGGCTGCAAAAATGGGCTTAGGGTATGAGAACTTGTCAGAAGCTGGAATCACAAAGGAGGTGCACTTGGGTGTGTGCTGGGAGTAGACAAAGGGAGGTGACATTTAATCAAGATGATCCTGGAGCAGTGGAAGGCACACAGAGAATCAGACAGGCTGATCCAGATTTGAAACAATGCCATATGGGATATCTCTGGGAGGAATATCTGAAGCATTATAGTTAATTCAAAATAGTTATGCATCCACATGAACCTTAGAGTGGCATTCATTCCAAAATAAAGTTATGTTGCTTCCAAAGTGGATTCATTGAAGTGGAATCAGACAACAGATACATTTAAAAAATAACTTCTGTATATTGATGCCAAGGTACTTTGTACTGAAAAAACTGTGTAGACAACTTCTAATCCAAGGCTATACAAATCTCTAGGGTCTCAAGCAGAGTTTTGCTCCCTTTTAATACTTGATTGCCAGATGACTAAAGTTGACTTACATCTTTATAATGAAAAAAGAAAAGGAGTACTTGTGGCACCTTAGAGACTAACCAATTTATTTGAGCATGAGCTTTCGTGAGCTACAGCTCACTTCACTACAATCTACATACCACACAGACTATGCTGACAGCTTGTGCCTCACGCTGTCAAAGAAACTGCGGAATCACCTGATCAAGATCCTCTACAGCGGCAGTTTCCACGGTATACATCTGATGAAGTGAGCTGTAGCTCACGAAAGCTCATGCTCAAATAAATTGGTTAGTCTCTAAGGTGCCACAAGTACTCCTTTTCTTTTTGCGAATACAGACTAACACGGCTGTTCCTCTGAAACCTATCTTTATAATGCTCATCCAAACTCTCCACTATTGTTTGTTCCAGAACAGTTGATACCCTGGCGCTTGACACCCTAGGGCTCAACAGACCCCAAAAGCTTGAAGCTTAGATGTACTGTTACTTGCTTAGTTATGTATGGTCTACACACACATTTTGTGTAACTATGGTGGTTAAGGGTGCAATTTTTTACTGACATAGTTATACTGGTACACTGCCTAGAGTAGATGCAGTTATAGCAGTATAAACAGCCTTACAACAATACAGTTTTGTAACAGGGGGCTTGGAGGGCCAGTCTGCCTAGTGGTTGGAGTCTGTCTTCCTGCCCCCTGCTTCTTGTGGTTGAGGTGCCTCAGTCTTTAAGGCAGGGGTTAGGGGAACCTGGGCCCTCCTATTCCACTGGGTTCCAGCCCAGGGCCCTATATAAGTCAACCCCTGAGTAGGGGAGCGCCCAGCGGGGAGTCTATGTCCACTGCCCAGGGCTACTTCCTACTGTTGTCCCTTCAGTCCAAGTTCCTGTGGTGACTTCTCCCTCATGGCCCCTAAGTGTCACCCTGCAGCAGTCATAAGTTTGGCAGGGTTGGAACACCCACAAGGTCTCTGCACTTCGGTCATCCAGGTTCCTCTTAGACCAGGTGTTCCTAGGCCTCTTTCTCTGACTCTTCTGGCCAGGAAGATGGGTGTTTGGTTCCTGGTGGCTGCGTTGGCAGACAGGCTAGAGATTCTTCCCTCAGGTAGGGAGGCAGCTAGCTCCTGCCTCTTTACCAATCAGCCCCAAACTGAGCCAGGCTCCCTCCTTTTCCCTCCCCTCCAGTCCTGGCACTGGCTGCAGTTATAAAGGGGTGGGGATAGCTGGGCCCAAAGGCTCTCTTTAACCCCTTCTGTGCTGGTGGGCAGTTTCTCTGCTTCACCACAAGCTTATTCCCCCTTCCTATACAGGATCAATTATATTGCTATAAGACCATTTATACAAATATAATTGTGTCCACATTATCAGGGGGATACTTTAACTATATCAGTACAGTTAAAATAGTACAACTTTTGCATATAGACAAGGCTTTAACCACACAGTGGCTGAGATAAACTTCTGTTGCTTTGGAGATTATAGCTGAAACAATTTTTTTCATTGTTTCAGCCTTAAAGAAGTGGGACACTTTTTTATTTTTTGCATTTTTAAAATTTTTAAATAAAATAAACTGCACTGGACAGGTATTTGAACTTAATGCATATGTCCAGAAACCCTTGCTTAAAACACCAGCGCCGATAGATCGGACTGATTTATCATCATAAGTAAGATTATATGCTACTTTGAATCAATTGCAATATCTAGGTGTAACAGTAAGGGACTGTCTATTTAAATTTGAATATTTTTTTTAGCTTAAAGGGATATTACTATCAAATAGCTTACACCCCAAAACCAGTTTTGCTTAAAAAATAAAACCATAATAGGATTTGAAATGTTCTGATATTTAAAAAAAATTCCAATTGGAACAGTGTTCTTTAAGTTAAAGAGTTCCCTACAGTTCTGAAAATTCAAACACAACATTATGGTAGTTCATGAGAATCAGGAAGCGAAACTGTCAGTAAGCAAAATGTGAAATTAACTACTCTGTTTACTCTTATTCAACTTGTACAGTGAACTGAAATACTGTAATGGAGAAAAATAAATTACTGTAACATATTTCCATTTTAATAATCTAAACACAGCTCAAAATGACAATTAAATGACTTTACAAACACCTCCATGATTAAACTAGAATTTAATTGGTTCATTTAATCCAAGTTAATATTTTTTCATACTTTAAGGGTTCCTTAAAACAAAATGTCAGAGTATATAGAGTTTCAGCAGAATACGGATGGATATTTTTCTTTTCTCTTTAAAAGGAAAGTCTTGAGGATATGACTGCATTCCTGTTATGTTTTTCATCAGCTACAACACAACTAGAAACAGCATTTGAGGAAGAAAAACAAGTATGTAGTGTTAAGCTTTGAAAAGAAAGTGAATGGATTTATTTTTTAAACTTTTAAAATTTTTGATTGGATTTTCTTTTGAGAATTGTCTCTCTAGGTATGCATTCAGAAGGTCTGCAAAATTCTCAATCTGCAGGCTTGGAACTATTTAGAAAGCACTTATTATTGTGCTTACCCCCATATGGACCATTGGTATGGGAATATATAAGAACCTGTGGCTCCATTCCTTTTTTGCTGCCGTAGGCTTTAAGCTCAAAAGCCATCTTTCTTTACATCAGTGTTTTAGTTAATCATATGTTTAAAATCTTCTCGTTCGTAGTTAGGGATTGATCGTTTGACTATATTTGGTCTGTGCAATTGCATAATCCATATTTGGATATTGTCTCCTCCCTCCTCTCCTAGCCTGCCTTGATTCAAGTACAGCGTCTGTGTCGATATGTCTACACTTAAAACACTACAGTGGCTGCAGCTGCACCTCTGTAGCACTTCAGTGTAGACACTATGTTCGCTGATGAGTTCTCCGATTGGCGTAGGTAATCCACATCCTTGAGAGGCGGTAGCTAGGTTGATGGAAGAATTCTTCCATCGATGTAGCTCTGTTTACACCGGGGGTTAGGTTGGCTTACTTATGTTGCTCGGGGTATGGATTTTTCACCAGGTCTGAACATCAAACAGTTTATAGTTGGTGCTGGTTTTGGTCCTCTTAATTCCTTCAACTGGTCCTATGAATCACTGGTAATACCTTCTCAGTTTTTCGTCCCTGGGTCTGTGGGGCCTGTTGCTTGGCTGAGAGAACAGTTTGATCTTAAAGTAATCAGATTTTCAATTGCGTGTTAGACGATGTTAAATATGTGCTACAGGTCTGCACACCAAATAGCTATGCTGACTGTGATAGGACACACTCTTTATCACTCACCTAAGAAAGAAGCCTCTGTAGGATTTTTTGGCCCACGGCACCTGGAAAATATCAAATGAGCACCTTCTTCAGCCACTGGGGAGGGAGGTTCCAATATGCTTTTCCACATCTCACTTTGATTGCAAAGATTAGGAGAGAAAAGGGTTCAGTGATCATAATAGCCTCAGACTGGCCCAGAACAGGTATGGTTCTCAACTCCATTGTAGGTGACACAAGCTGAACTTCTCAGACTGAAAATCTGGCTTCTGATCATCATTCAAAATGAGAAGGAGTACCTGTGGCACCTTAGAGACTAACCAGTAGCTCACTTCATTGGATGAAGTGAGCTGTAGCTCACAAAAGCTTATGCTCAAATAAATTGGTTAGTCTCTAAGGTGCCACAAGTACTCCTTTTCTTTTTGCGAATACAGACTAACACGGCTGTTACTCTGAAACCATTCAAAATGAGGGCATTTTCCATTCAAACAGAGGGCCTACTCTGTAGTTTCTGTCAGATAGTACAAATTCATAGGTATCGTGTCTCTAAGCAGGTAACTTTTGTCCTCATGGCATTTCTGAAGCCATCTACTAGAAGGCCCTATAAATTCCAAGTTTAAAACATTTTGTGGCGTGGTTCAAACAAGCCTGTGATGACCCCTTTCCTTGTCCTGCACAGATGCTCCTTTAAGACTTTCTTCATCTGTTTCAAAGACATACTTTCCCCAGATACATATGGTAGCTATTTTGGCCTATCAAATTAGTCAAAAGTAGCTTAGTGCCTCCATAGCTTCTTGTCATTGGGTTCATATGGAGCTTCACACTTTTGAAACCTCTGTTTAAAAGACCTGTGTTTTGGGATAGTAAGGTGGTCCTGACAAATTGGATTAAAGCTTCTTTTTAAACCACTCAGTCCCTGCGAACTTAAGTTTTTTACATGGAAGGTCATTTCTTTGGTGGCAGTGAGTGAAACATGTAGAATGAGTGAACTTGGACTCTGCTCACTGATGCATCCTATACCAGATACTACAATGATAAGAGGGTGTTATTTGAGATTCCTCTCCAAAGTGGATATCATAGTTCCATTTTAATGAACCTATGTCCTGCCAACATTCTTTTCATACCTGCTTGCCCACCCCACTGAGGACCTTCTCCATATGCTCAAAGTAAAAGGGCCCTTAGGGTTCTCCTTGGAGTGGACCAAAACTGTTAGAAAATGTTGGTTGATTTTTCTTTCTTTTGATGCTAAATCACTGATCAGTGGTGTTACCAAGAGGACCATGTCTAAAAGGATGTCTGATTGCATTTTACCCTGGGATGAACTGGCCAAACACAAAGTCCATGTCAAGGCTTGCCTACTTAGTGATGAGGCTGCCAACATTGCCTGTTTCAGAAATGTCTCCATTGCAGACATAAAGCAGCAATATGGTCCTTACTCCACACATTTACAGAGCAGTATTGATGGGATTTGGCTTCCAGAAGGAATTCCTTTTTCAGCCTTTTTATGTTTCATAACTTGTTTCCAAGGGAGGGGAAGCCAAACTTTCCCACTTCCAAAGAGAATCTTATTTCTTTTAGGATGTCTGTTACTTGAATTTGACCAGTTTCTACATGATGATTTTTGACAGACTTAAGCAGTTGGTTGGCTTGGACTAGGGTGACCAGATGTCCCAATTTTATAGGTACAGTACCGATATCTGGGGCTTTTTCTTTTATAGGCGCCTATTACCCACCCATTCCCTGTCCTGATTTTACATACTTGCTATCCTGTTACCCTAGCTTGGACATGTAAGAGTCTCTTATTCCTGTTTACCTACTTGTATGTAAAAAAATTATGATTTTTATTCTGTTGGCTTTGGCCTTGTTACTGCTGCTTTCTGTCACTTTATCTACTTTTGCTTTTGGGACATCCCTCAACTGTTTTGCTCTTCAGAAATGAAAATGCTAGCAGAAATTATCTTAAGAGAAGGGAAAATTGCTTACCTGTATATTTGCTTATCTGAATATAGCATTCCAAAAGTATTCTCCCTCAACCATCCACCTCCCCACATAGTTTAAGGATTATCTTCTTTTAAGTTTTCTCATTGTTTACATCTTCTTTCTGTTTTTCCATTGGGCATATTTTTTAATAGAGTTTTTTTAAGGCCAGAAGAGACCATTAGATTATCTACAGGTTTCAGAGGAACAGCCGTGTTAGTCTGTATTCGCAAAAAGAAAAGGAGTACTTGTGGCACCTTAGAGACTAACCAATTTATTTGAGCATGAGCTTTCGTGAGCTACAGCTCATTCTGACTTCCTGTATAACACAAGCCAAAGAATTTCATTCAGTTACCCCTGTGTCATAAATATAAAGGGAAGGGTAAACCCCTTTGAAATCCCTCCTGGCCAGGGGAAAGCTCCTCTCACCTGTAAGGGGTTAAGAAGCTAAAGGTAACCTCGCTGGCACCTGACCAAAATGACCAATGAGGAGACAAGATACTTTCAAAAGCTGGGAGGAGGGAGAGAAACAAAGGGTCTGTGTCTGTCTGTAGTCGTCTTGGCCGGGGATAGACCAGGAATGGAGTCTTAGAACTTTTAGTAAGTAATCTAGCTAGGTATGTGTTAGATTATGATTTCTTTAAATGGCTGAGAAAAGCATTGTGCTGAATAGAATAACTATTTCTGTCTGTGTATCTTTTTTGGAACTTAAGGTTTTGCCTAGAGGGGTTCTCTATGTTTTTGAATCTAATTACCCTGTAAGATATCTACCATCCTGATTTCACAGGGGGGATTTCTTTATTTCTATTTACTTCTATTTTTTATTAAAAGTCTTCTTGTAAAAAACTGAATGCTTTTTCATTGTTCTCAGATCCAAGGGTTTGGGTCTGTGGTCACCTATGCAAATTGGTGAGGCTTTTTATCCAACATTTCCCAGGAAAGGGGGGGTGCAAGTGTTGGGAGGATTGTTCATTGTTCTTAAGATCCAAGGGTCTGGGTCTGTAGTCACCTAGGCAAATTGGTGAGGCTTTTTACCAAACCTTGTCCAGGAAGTGGGGTGCAGGGTTTTGGGAAGTATTTTGGGGGGAAAGACGCGTCCAAACAGCTCTTCCCCAGTAACAAGTATTAGTTTGGTGGTGGTAGCGGCCAGTCCAAGGACAACGGGGGGAATATTTTGTACCTTGGGGAAGTTTTGACCTAAGCTGGTAAAGATAAGCTTAGGAGGTTTTTTCATGCAGGTCCCCACATCTGTACCCTAGAGTTCAGAGTGGGGGAGGAACCTTGACACCCTGTATTGAGCCCAATAGCTTATTACTCCGACTACTAGCATTAGTATATAAGAAATTCATTTTTTTTCTTCTCTTTGCATTCTTTGCACCTTGGGTCATATGGTCATGATGCCTGGAGTCTGAGTAATAGGTAATCTATACTGGAACTGTTCATTTAGCTACCCTTCCTTAGTAGTGCTAGTTTAATGATATCCTGATTGCTCCAGCTAATCTCTAACCTTGAAGTTTAATCCTCATACTTCTTTTAATCCAGGGGTCTCAAACAAGCGGCCTGTGGGGTGCATGCAGCCCGCGGAGTTATTTGCTGCGGCCCGCCAACCTCCTCATGCCCCCCTGCTCCTCCCGAGTTATTTCTTGTGGTTACCAAGCTTCCTGCGCCCCCCAAGTTATTTCCTGCGGCCGCCAAGTCCCCCTCTCCTGCCACTCCCCTCCCCCGCAGTGCGCCACTTCCCCGCTCCTATGCCTACCTCCAGGATCTTAGTGCTTTCCAGGAGGGAGGAGGGAGGAGCACAGAGCAGCATGCTGAGGGGAGGAGGTGGAGAAGAGGTGGGGCAGGGGTGGGGATTTGGGGAAGGGGTTGTAATAGGGGCAGGGAGGGGGCGGAGTTGGGGCGGGGAGTTTGGGGAAGGGGTTGGAATGGGGGCGGGGAAGGGGTGGGTAGAGGCAGGCAGGGGTGGGGCCAGGGTCAGCGGGGTGTGTGTGTGTGTGTGTCAGTGATGTGCCCCTCGGGCCAATGTAGTAATCCTCATGTGGCCCTCGTGGTGATTTGAGTTTGAGATCCCTGTTTAAATCAAAATTAATAATTTTGTATTGTGTTATCACCTTGGGAGCTTTGCCTTCCC